ACACTGAAGGGGCTAAACGATTGAGGACGAGCACCCTTGCGGCGGGAGAACGACGTCAGAGGATTGGACACTGAAGGAGCTAAACGATTGAGGACGAGCACCCTTGCGGCGGGAGAACGACGTCAGAGGATTGGACACTGAAGGGGCTAAACGATTGAGGACGAGCACCCTTGCGGCGGGAGAACGACGTCAGAGGATTGGACACTGAAGGGGCTAAACGATTGAGGACGAGCACCCTTGCGGCGGGAGAACGACGTCAGAGGATTGGACACTGAAGGGGCTAAACGATTGAGGACGAGCACCCTTGCGGCGGGAGAACGACGTCAGAGGATTGGACACTGAAGGGGCTAAACGATTGAGGACGAGCACCCTTGCGGCGTGAGAACGACGTCAGAGGATTGGACACTGAAGGGGCTAAACGATTGAGGACGAGCACCCTTGCGGCGGGAGAACGACGTCAGAGGATTGGACACTGAAGGAGCTAAACGATTGAGGACGAGCACCCTTGCGGCGGGAGAACGACGTCAGAGGATTGGACACTGAAGGGGCTAAACGATTGAGGACGAGCACCCTTGCGGCGGGAGAACGACGTCAGAGGATTGGACACTGAAGGGGCTAAACGATTGAGGACGAGCACCCTTGCGGCGGGAGAACGACGTCAGAGGATTGGACACTGAAGGGGCTAAACGATTGAGGACGAGCACCCTTGCGGCGGGAGAACGACGTCAGAGGATTGGACACTGAAGGGGCTAAACGATTGAGGACGAGCAACCTTGCGGCGGGAGAACGACGTCAGAGGATTGGACACTGAAGGGGCTAAACGATTGAGGACGAGCACCCTTGCGGCGGGAGAACGACGTCAGAGGATTGGACACTGAAGGGGCTAAACGATTGAGGACGAGCACCCTTGCGGCGGGAGAACGACGTCAGAGGATTGGACACTGAAGGGGCTAAACGATTGAGGACGAGCACCCTTGCGGCGGGAGAACGACGTCAGAGGATTGGACACTGAAGGGGATTTTGTCCGGGTGTGGGGGGATTGTGTGCGGAGGGATTTTGTCCGGTGGATTTCGTTCCGGGGATATTGTCCGGGATTCGCTGGCTACACAGTTCCGACCAGGGCCTGTCCATAAATAATTGCAATATATATATTTGTTTCAATATGAATTGAATTTTTCTGGAAATATACAATAAATAATGCAAAATTGTTTATATTTTTACAATGAAAATATGGATTTAGTCTCCATCACGTTTTTTCCGACCATTTTTTACTATTGTCACAGTTATCAAACGACTAGTGCTTCGGATTATGGAAGCACTTGATGCAATCCCGCACATCTTTGCACAATTTTGAACGTTTTTTGGCAAATTTTATACGGTTATATGGCTTTACGGGAAAATATCTTGGAGTTTTTTTGACAAAATAGCGTCATTTTATTTGATTTTGGGATTACTTGAGAATCTCCTCATTCATCTTTGCAATGGTACTATTATAATGTTGATGAAATTGTTTTTTTCCTCGGAAAAACGTGTCTTTTTCGCCCCATTTTGATAGTTTTTAAGTAAAAATTTAGAAAATTGTATCTAAGTGACCAACTAGTATTGCTATTGGCTTTGAGTCATGACTCTTTAGTCAGTACATTTCTTTACAGTTTTATGGAATGATTTATAGGATTATGCAGCTTTGGAGGTTAACATCTTATCGTTTTTCATCAAAAAGTCTATTTTAAACCAGTTTTTAAAAGTACAGCTTATTGCTTTATTGATCAAAAACTACTTAAAGAAATGCAGCGAATCATAGTCTCAATCACGTTTTTTCCAACCAGTTTTGGGTAAAAACACAAACATGTTTCTAAGCAAAATTCTGAGCGATAGTTCAGATGAAATAATATAGTATGTCAAAAGACTAAAAAAACGGGTGAACAAATAGAAAACGCTTTAATCCTTTCACTTGTTCAAAGTTCATTTCACTTACACAACGAATTTTCGATTTGCATTCAATCGTTCTAAAATTACAAACGGTCTCATTCGTCCTAAAATTTTCCTAAAAACTCCACGAAGCCGTTGGGAACGATTATGCAGGGTAATGTCTGTCGGCTCCCCACAGACTGTGTTGGAGGCTGTTCTACATTTATTTCGCACTATTGGAGCCCTATTATAATCGTTTTGAGACAATTACACATGTTGTTCAGTTAGGGTGGGGGTCTTTGTTGGGGATGCTACTAGGACAAACCCAAAAACCCAGACAGAAGTCGCGAACACAAACTTTGTATTATAGTTTGAAACTAATTTTTCGCTTCGCTCAAATTCGTAAAGAGAGTTTCCAGGCAATTACGACGGGGTACCTGTGATCAGGGGTAAAAAAATGTTATTTAAATAATTGGCAATGAATAAATATAAAGAATTTGTTTCGTAGATTGAAAAATGCAAATAATTTATTTTTCTCATACAATAATCGTAAAGTGACAGACAATTATTTCAGTTTCTTTGGTCTCCAGTTTCAAATGGGTAAAACCTACTTCGAAATTGTGTTGAAAGACTGTTTATTACCGCAAAGGCTGTCCATAAAGATTACAGAAAAAGTTCGAGTCCAATCAACTTGGAGGCACAGATGTCCTTGCAAAAACAAACAAGAAATATTGGGACAAATTGACTTTTTCCGAAAAAATGGGTTTCATTCACAATAATTGATGATAATTAACAACAATTTATTCTTGAGAACAATCTTTTTTTTTCTGTATAGAGCAATACAAGTATTTTCATTTAAGGTAACAATAATTATACATTACATTATTTTACACCCCTGCCTGTGATTTTGAACAAGCCGTTTTAGTTTGGGACCGCGAAAAAGGGAGATTCTATCGCTACAAATTAAAACCGTCGGATACAAGTAAAAAAAAATTTTTTTGAAGTGTTTACTCTTCGTGTTCTTAATTTAGCAATCTGTAACTTAATAATAGATTATCTATATATTTTTTTTTCAAGAAAAACATATTTTTCATGACTCAGTAAGACTAATAAGACCCAAATTTGGGTCACGTTGGGAGACGAATTGTCAACAAGAGCCTAAAATACAGTATTTTATTCTCGATATTTCCCCCTCGTTTATTACAAAAAATTATGTTTTGGAAGCCATATCACGTAAAAGTATGTAAAAGACATGTAGCAAAGTGCATGTGATACTTGAATAAAGCCGGTTTAATCACACACAAGTTACTTGGCATAAAAACACAATGTGGCCGCGGGATAATTAACTCAGCAATCTTCACAAACGCTTGACTTGACACACAACAATTGAACAAAGGAGTTGAGAGGCGTGTTTTTCGTGACGTTTATCAATTCAGCCTCGATCTGTGAAGTTATATATGCTTTAAGTTTATGTCTGCTGGTGAAGTGTAAGAGCCAGATTAGCTACTGAGATATCGAGCTACCAATTTAATGTTAAATAGAAGTTTCTAATCAATACCCTGAGACGAATAAACCAACCAACTAGTTAATAATTATAGTAACTAACATTAGCCATAAAAGTAGCAACTAACCTGCTGGCTTCATAGTTCCGACCAGGGCCGGGGTGGATTTAGTGGGGAGGAACTGTGTCTAGTGATTTGCTAGGAAAGCAGTTCCGACCAGGGCCAGTCAATAAATAATTGCAATATAATTTTTGGGTTCCAAAAATTATTGCATTTTATTGAAAACGAACAATAAATATTGCACTAAAGCAATTATTGATTCAATTTTTACGATGAAAAAATGCAGTTTCAAAACTTGAACTATTATATTTAAGTCCAAAAGAAAATTTCTAGAAAAAAGTGGCGACGAATCATAGTCTCCACCAGGTTTTTTCCCGACCATATTCAGTATAAACACGAACGTTCGAACTTGTCCGATGTACAAACATTCCGACCATTGGAAAACCAGCGTGAATTGACACCCTCAACCACAACCATGCCTAACCTCAATGACAAACTTTTTGCTATGGCTTCGAATCAAAATTTTTTTGGCACATATGTTCAGTTTTTGGCAAAACTTATAGGATTATACGGCTTTAGGGGAAATCATCACTACGTTTTTCATGAAAACAATAGCTGCTTATTCTTTTCAGCTGTTGTTTTCTCTTTTTCCTAGCCTTCAATGTCTATACGGTCGTAAAATTTGTAATTTTTTTCAAATTTGAAGATAAAATATTTCAACCAATGTCAATCAGAGGGCAATGGCAAATCGTTTCCTGATATTGCAATGAAATTATCCTTCTAATTTTTTTAATGCCAAGAAACAAGATTTCCTTTTGTCGATGTTTATATTGCTGCATCACGGAGATCGTTTGGCGAGCAATAAGTTTTTCTTGGCTCTGCTCGTCATTTTGTCAGTTCCGAATTCTGTAAAATCAGAGGATCAACTGTTTTTTTTCCAGTCCTCAGATGGAGGAGTTCCGTTGGTTCCACTCGTGTTCCCCGCGGTTGCTCTTTTTTCAGTGTGAACAACAGGATAAATACAAATTCACATTATGTTTTTTTTCGTATTCAACCCGATCTTACAGAAACAATGATTTTTCGAGGTTTCAGGAAACAATTGTCTGCCGTCTTCCGGAAGAAATTGTTCGTAGAACGTTTAAAGCCTTTCTACATCGGCGGAATTTGCCTGTAAAGTTGTTCAAAAAAACGTCTGCGGTAGTTCGTTAGTTTCAGAGTCCGAGGAATCCGTCACCCAACTGAAAAAAGTGAATGTTATTTGCAAACTTCGCGCATAGAGGAAAAGTTACGAATTCGCAGACATATAGAAACGTTCAATTCTATCGCACATTTATATATCGAACTGAACATTGTATTGCATTTATGCATTATTTCAACCACTTTTTGCGTCAAACATTATATAAAGAAGTCAAATATCTAATGATAGCTCTTAACTGAACCCATTGTTCGAATTTAACCGTTTTGAGCAATAATAGTTGACGCTAGCGTCCGAATGAGCTCGATCCTCCCAAAAACAGACAAAAAGACAAATGTAGCAGAAACTAATTTAACTCTTTATATACAAAATACTGTACAAGTACTAAATAGAACAAATTTACAAGTGAGCAGGAGAATATGTTATTTGCTAGGCAAAAATGAGTTCAGGCTTTGCGAGATCATGAAAATGTCAGCAAGAGACCGCTGTTGTTTCCCAATATGGGTTATGGGAAGGCGTGTCTCGATTGGTTGAGAAATGGTCAAAGAAATCTGCAAAAACTAGAAGACTGCCGTGTTCTGGTGGCCGAGACAGATTCATCCGATTGTCCAACAGCTCCAACAACGGTCGATTGAGCAGTCTCCTCTGCAAAAGAACTTCCAGCTATATATAGTTATATATAACTTAAGTTATACAGGGTTCCCGGGTTGACCAAAACTTCTTATCATACAATTTCCATATATGAGAAACTTCTTGTCATACAATTTCATACAATTCCATACGTACAGAAAATTGTATGAAAACTCTATGATAAGCATTTTTCCATATATGAAAATTGTATGATAGGCGTTTTCCCATAAACCAAAAATTTTGATTTTTTTCTTTCTAAATTTAGTTTCTGAAAATTTTTTGGTTGTAGTTGCAACCGAACACAAGTGACAAAGACCTTGGTTACTCAAAACACCAAAGGTTGGACGGTCTTGCATTTACAATGCATAGAAAACGACCTGAATTTGGCTGTCTTTCACAATTGATATAACAAAAGTAACAAACTTATATTTTTTGGCAAAATTTTTTAATGATGATTATATTAAATTTTTGAATTTTCAAATTATCAGACATTGATCAAGGCGTACATTAACACCCCATACAAAAGAAAGAGGAATTTTCAGCGTTTTTGAAAAAAAAAAATTCAGTGAAAAAAAAATAAAAGCCAATTTTATCGTATCCAGGACTACGTTATGCACACAAAATATTAAATTTTGCATGCAAATTTTTTTTTTCGAAAAATGTTGGTTTGCGTACGAAAATCGATTTGCGGTTGAAAAAAAAACAAAAAAATTTTTGGGCCAAATTTTCAAAATTAATTGAAAAATTTTTTGTGTCGCCATCAAAAAAATGCCAGTCATACAATTTCCATATATGGGAATTTTATGATAAGCATTTTTTTCAAAAAACGAAAACCTCCGTTTTTTATCACCAGATTGTTTTTTTTTAGAATCAAACAGCCACAGAAATGAGTTTATACCAGTTTTCAACCATTTTTAGAAATTGTATGAAAATTGTATGAAAGCATTTTCCCACACACTTGATGTATGGAATTGTATGATAAGCATTTTCGGTGTATGGAGGTCAACCCGGGTTGTTAGAGTTAGGGTTAGGTTTGTTTCAAACGATAAAAAAACATGTTTTAAACACGATTGAAAAAAAAAACATGTTTTGTTCCCTAAGAATGGCAGAACTAAAGGAGCTAAGGGTTTTTCCATACGTTTTTGTACAGTTGCATGGCAGTTTTACAATTTCAAAAGCTAGTTTCATACCAAAATTAGCGGTATATTACGCAAATCTCTTTTTAAAGATACTTTGGGCAAAAACGGATGGTGGATTTCCTGTTATCTGCGATTCTGTGGACTCCTTTTCGGACGAATGGTCAAGTATATTTACTAAGCGTTTATTGCTGGTTAAATGCTTAGTAATTTTATCCTAAATTATAAGTCTCACCTTAGATCGTCAAATTGTCTTGACAAAAAGTAGAGTAGAAAAAATAGTTAGAAAAGGTATGAATTAATTAGTTGGTTAAATACAAAGCACTGGGTTATTAGATTATATAAATGAATCGAACAGCTTAAAGAAATATACCTATGAGGGGAGGTTGAGCTAATCTTATTTTGTTCATCAATATTTTATCTTCTTACTAAGGTCGGTGGCTGAGTAGAATGTATTGTTGCCCTTGATTTTGTCCAAGTCAGCGCTTCTGGTTGGGTCGTCTGAATCGTCTTGCCGTCGTACTTGAGGTAGTTGTAGTCCAGACTTCCTCGGTTGTGCGAATTCGAGTGTCTCGATTTATAATTTTTCAAAAGTTAAAATGAGAATTTATTCTCTTTTTATAAGTGAAAAGGGCTAGATTAATTTCAGTGTTATGGCAGAAAAGAAAAATTATTTATTTTTAAAAGATCTGGCTGGAGAAAAACTGACTAGCTGCTTACTGAGCAAAATGAAACACTGAAGATTTCAGGCCAGTCCTTTTGCTCGTAAGCATAAACCGGCGGCTGATTCAATCTTTAATTATTCAGGTTTCACCTGCTCCTTTGTTCTCCCTTTCTTATAAGGGAATTTTCAACTAGTTTTTATTTGATTTTTTCAAATCAAATATCTTCAACTTATTAGTCCTCTTTGAAGAAAAAAGCCTTCAGTTTGTCTGATTAAAAATTCATATTACTTTCTCTGATGCATCATATTGCAGGTGCATCTATGCTAAATCAAAGCAAGGAGAATTTTAGTGCAGCCGGCAAGACTGCTAAATATTTATCCAGTTTGTTTCAAGTTAAGTTAAAAGGGATGTATTAATAATCGCCGCCCTTTTAAAATATTGAGCATGAAAAAATGAGAAAAATTGGACAAGTATTTAAAAAGGAGTGGATTTTCAAAACAAGATTTTATAGTCCTAATAAGAGTAAATCAGTCAATATCTGATTTAGTGAAAAGAGGCTTTAATTTAAATGGCACGCTCCAATTTAGAATTGGGTCGTTAAATAAACAATTAAGACAATGGTCTTTTGTGTGTGTAGTATTTCGCAATACTACAACTCACCCCTTTTTTTAGAAAATTAAGCTGTTCGATTCTTACAGTTACCATGGTGAAAATTTAAACACTTTGAAGGTTAAATACTATAGTTATAAAATTTAAAGAGAACATCAAATGAAAAAGTTATGAAGAAAAGTTAGGCTATATTTAGAGCTTCCTTCCGGCTTCTAGCTCCATGTTGTATGATTTGAGGATCGCTATCTTCCTCTGTGAAGCCTCGAGTTTTTGTTGCAGTTTTACTATTTTCTTCTTTTTTATTTTGTTTTTGAGTCGTAGTCTGCTCATTCCGTCCGTCAGTTCTTGGATGTCGTCCTGTTGTTCCTGTCTGTTTTTTCCATGGTTCGGAAAAGCAGTTATTCCCTCAAACGGGATTGTGACTTGCGTGCCTCCTGCCTTGAGGATGTAGCCGTGTTCCTCCCTCTTCTTTAATTTCCAGAAGTTGTTTTCGTTCTTTATAACAACTTCTGGCTCGGTTATGAAGTCAATAGGCATCATCGCCTTTTCCTTTGTCGTTGAGTTTACGACTTCAATGAACGATGGCAGATTCCATCTGTTGTAATTTTCCTTTATTGAGTACTTTAAACTCGTTATATATTTTGGATTTTCCGTATCCAATTTGGTTTCCCTGCACTTCTGCAGTTCCAATCTTTGGGTTAAACTGGGAAAATTGCGAGGGTTCTTATTCAACCCGTCGTCCATTGACAAAGATTGAACTGCTACCGGTTTCCGTTGTTTTTTGTTCCTGAGAGGCAGCTTTCTTTTAAATTCCTCTGGTGCAGGGTCTGCATTTCTGCAGTTCCAGTTTAAAATTGGGTCGTATTCCATTTTGCTAAACATCAATATAAAATGACCAAATATTCAAAATCCCGAATTACATTCGGATATTAAGGCTAATTATCAAATGTTTGAAAAATGAAGGACAAAGTGTAAAATTGTATATATATATATATAAAAAGTGGAAAAGATAATCTTGTGGTTTCACACAAACCCACCACGGAAAACAAATGAAGAAAAACGATCATGGTGTTTATTAACCACAGGAATAAAGCACTTTACAACACTGAGTTAAGCTCAGATATAAACTTATGTAGTTAAAGGAAAAAATGGAAATTTGGGCATTAATTAACCCCTAATCTTAAATGTATGTCCACCTGGGGTCATCCACAGGCTTACCATGGGGTCCCCTTTTATAGGTAAAAGGGACTAGAAAAAACCGGGGGGGGGGGGGTAAATAGTATATAGTAAGGCATGTGTAAAAGAGATTTTAGTGTTAATTGTTATTTAAAAAGATTTATAATTTATGAGCTGATTACTGAAGTCTTGAGATCTTACCAAATGTAGGAAGGTAGAGGAGTCGTAAATGGATATAGTAAAGTGTTGAGGATTAATTCCAGGGGTCGGAAAAATCACAAGGGATGTGGCATAAAGGACAAAATTGTGCCGTATTAGGGAGGCATCTTGTACAAATAATGATACCTTGATGGCAATCAGTAAGATGTTGATTGCTTGCCATACATTGGGTTTGGGTATTTCCCCAATTTGCGCTTTTAATCATTTTTTCGCATAAACAACAAGGAGAATAATATTAAAGTGATTGGGTATAATTTGGGACTTGGCAAATGGGGCATAAAATTTGTCCATATTTAGAAAAATGGGCTACAATTTGCTCATGACAGTCTATACAGATGAAGTGCACTGGATGATGTGGCTCGTTATTATGTTGTTTCTTAAATTTGGATTTTGGTAAGTAAGTGGGTTGTTGAATTGTTTTTTGGAAGTACTGTAAAATGGGTTGAGAAACATAAAGAAAATTTTGAAAATAAAAATATCAAGCTTGAAAAATTTTACATACAAAAGCTGGTAAGGTTAGTTGAACCATTTTTAAGAAAGGAAAGATTAAATAATAAGTCGATTGGAGGTTTGGAAATTGATGTCGATAACATCTTCGTCATTCTTGAAGGCATTTATGATAATATTAAAAAATCTACTGCTGCTTTTGACTGTAAGTTTTTCTTCATCGTGGAAGCCAGGACTATAACGTTGGCAAAAAATATCCAACTGCTGTTGATCGGGATGAATATAAATGCGATTTGTGCGCGCTTGGTAACCGTCAACTTGGACGAGGAGATTATAATCAAGGACAAAATCAATGTCCATTACCAAGCAGAACATTTTGCGACTTCCTAAACAAACAGCATAATTGTTTATTCATTTTTTATTGCCTTTACAAGTCAGACATTTGTTAATTTGTTCGAAATTTAGTACGTGAACATCCTGGCGGCATATTGGGCATAAGAATTTGTCAAAATTCAAGTTCGTTTTGGATTTTAGAGTCATGAAGCATACATTACAAATAAAATGAAAGGGTTGTGGATACTTTCTTTTGTGAAGTTTTCTTAATTGAAGGGTTGTTTTCAATTTTAGACACCCAGGGCATTCGTTTGCCATTGTATAAAAAGAATTTATGCCCAAAACTCATCAAAGGCAATTTTGGAAAAACAGATAGGGCAGATGTTTTTGCATTTCTCAATGCAGTTATTGCATACAGTAATATAAGGGT